TTTTGTTCAAGCTCTTGTATTCTCGAGCTTAATTCCGCGATTGTCGCCTGCATTGAAGTATTTTGTGTCTGAAGATTCTCTATTATTTTCTTGAACTCCTTATGTTTAACCATACAGTTTTTATGTTGACTCTTTTCAAGGTTGATTGAGTCTTTCACATTCTTCAGTTCAGCTTTAACTGATCGTAATTCCTCACCGACTAAAGCTGTTATGGTGACATTAAGTTTCGTTAAAAGTGTGCTTAACTCATTCTGTATAACATCTTGAACAATGTCTCGAACGTCACCAGTAGTCAATGAATTACAGCTAGTAGTAGGGAGCGAGCTTAATGCTTGCCTTCTTGCTCCTCTCACGGTAACATTAGAGTTATAACGGACTGGGGCGTTGTCGTCTCTAGGTGGCTTAAGACTTTTGCCGGAGCAGGTTGGGCAAGTCCAATTCGTTGAATTACGTAGCGCTACTTCACAGTTAGTCATGCAAGCATGATGGAAAGCTTTATTACATGAGATACAGCTAAAGTAGTTTTCATTCTCCAATGCGCCAGCGCAGCATCCCGATACCATGTACGCATTTACCTGTTCAGTCATAGCGATGATAACGGTCGTCAATGCCCAGCTATTTAAAATGCTTCCAAAGATGTATGTCTGTCTTTTAACTTTTCTGTCTACATGTGTTTAAGTTTATTTATATTATTTTTATAGTATATTACACCGAAATTTTAAAATAAATGCGAAAAATCAAAATAAATGCAAAAATAAATGTCAAACACAATGTCAACTTTTTACTTGTTATGTTATACAAATGTAAAAGTAAAGTCGATCTGAAAACGTCTATTTAGTAAGAATAGCAAAACAAGTGTTTTCAAAAGGAAAAAAACGCCGGCGCTATACGGCGGCGGATTGACAAAAGACTATTTATTAGCGAACTTTTTTTACTTGCTACTACTACTTGCAAAATACAAAGGCTGCACTAAAAGTATCGGGAATGGAATATTTCCACTGTTCCTGTCATTTTAAAATCTTTTTAATTGAAAACCCCTTGGTTTTAAAAATCGAATACTATTTATTTATTTAAAAAAAGATTTTCGGTCTTGTCACAAGGTTTTGTCAAACTTGTTTAGTCGTTGAGGAAATGGAATTGACTCGAGAAAATTCAAGAGCGATGATTTATTATGACTTTCGAAGTAGTTTAACACAAAAACAGTGTGTTGACCGCATAATTTCTGCATTTGGTGATGAAGCCCCATCCAAAACCACAATTTATCGCTGGTTTGCTGAATTTCAACGTGGACGTGTCAAGCTCAGTGATGATCCCCGTCAAGGTCGTCCAAAAACTGCAGTCACCCAAGAAAACGTTGATGCTGTGCGTAAACTGATTGAGGAAGATCGACATGTGACATACCGCGAATTTCAGGCAACTTTAGACATTGGCATGAGTCAAATACAAATAATCTTGCATGAACAATTAGGTGTAAAAAAGTTGTTTTTCCGATGGATACCGCATTCGCTCTGTGAAGAGCAAAAAGCGGCTCGCGTTACTTGGTGCGTCAGAACTCTCGAAAGATTCCACGCAGGATCCTCAAATGCTGTATACAACATCGTATCAGGTGACGAATCCTGGATAAATGCTTACGAACCCGAAACAAAAAACCAGTCACGAGTTTGGGTGTTCGAAAATGAGTTAAAGCCAACAAAAATTGTTCGTTCACGGAGTGTTGCAAAAAAAATGGTGACGTTTACGTTTGTCTCCAAAACCGGCCATGTTACGACTATCCCTCTTGAGGGACAAAGAACGGTTAATGCAGAATAGTATGCTAGCATTTGTTTGCCACAGGTCGTTTATAAACACCGTAAAGAGAACTGCAACCGCCGCATCATCCTCCATCACGATAATGCGAGTTCTCACACCGCACACAGAACAAAAGAGTTTTTAGAGCAAGAAAATATAGAATTATTAGATCATCCGCCGTACAGTCCCGACCTAAGCCCTAATGATTTCTATACTTTCCCTAGAATAAAGAATAAATTGCGTGGACAGAGATTTTCATCACCTCAAGAAGCTGTAGACGCCTACAAAACGGCCATTTTGGAGACCCCAACTTCCGAATGGAATGGTTGCTTCAATGATTTGTTCTATCGTATGGAAAAATGTGTCAAATTTCGCGGAGAATACTTCGAAAAGCAATAAATACATTTTTAAATAGTAATGTTGTGTCACTTCCTTGATTCCCGAAATTTTCAGTGCCGCCCTCGTAATGAATATTTTATTCTTGATAAATTTTCCAAAAACGCAATTTGAGCGAGTTATAACGATTTTTAAAAAGACACGACTCGTGTGTCATACGCCACACACAAAAGTAATCGATGGTACGCCTGGCTCGTCATCCGAATTGAACCGGTTAATGAGCAAACAAAAGGATTCAGATGTCATTTTTTAAGTTACCGAAGGATAACCAAAGGTGAATATATTTTTTTTTTTTTAGATAGGTGGTACTTAGATAGCGAAAAAGGATTAAGTAATAATTTAACAACAGAAGTAATACCTCGGTATCTACTTTATTACAAGTTAGTCGAAATTTACTTTACTATCCAAGTACCTTCTTACATACCTATACTTGTATTATGTAATTAAAATATTTTAAGTTATAATAACACAAAAAATACTGAAATTAAAACTTTGTTTAGAAGATTTTTAACTAAGTAGAATAAGATCATATTTCTGTTAGGAATCGTATTTCTGGTTTATTTGTTGTTTACACTATCTACCTCATTGATTATGATCTACCTATTTCTTCAGAGCCAAACATTGCGATTCCCGACGAATGGCCTTGCAAGTTGCATGCGTTGGGCATCACAGAACTTACATAGTAGCGGAAATATGGTCGATCATAGTCAGAATAGGTATTTTACCTAAGTAACTTACCATTTCACAATGTATTTTTTTTTCCTTATTAAGGGCTGTTGCCTTACTAACTACGGAAAGTCCGTCCTGACGTAAGAAGAGGAAAAGATGCAAAAGTAATACGGACACTCGCGCGCAGCGATAACTTTTATTTAGCTTGCGTGCGCGATTTATTCGATTAATAATAATTATGTAGGATATTAAAACGTCGGCAAGCAGTCAACATCAAAAGAGTACAAGTTCTATATGTAATACTATTATTTATTCTGTGGTACTCTTATTTATTTTTATCTTTGATGTTTTTATTTAGGTATCATTTTATATTCTGTATTAAAACTGTATACCTAAGTGTAAGTTGCTGAATAAATGCATGTCAATGTCTATGTCTAAATAATCTTACAATACCCCAGTGTAACTTATACCAGCTTCAGCTATATCTTCTTCCAGCTTCAAGATCCTGTCAGTCCTTAGGGTGCTTGTGTTAAATGTTGTCAGGTCGAATCGTCGAAAGTGGCAACAGAACCTCCACAGGAGATTCTTAGCAATCCAGCCACCAAGAACACCAGGAACACCAGGGCCACCAGGGACACCAGGGCCACTATGGATTGGGCGCCGTTTCTTTCTGTTATTGCTCTTGAGATAATGTTTGCCATAGTCGCCATGATTGACAGGCGGATTACCAACCAAAGTTTTTTGTTTTCTAGTTGTTATTAGTAAGACACTGCTACCCATCAACTGGTTTGCTTCCCTTTGTTGCCTCTTATGCCACCCATGGGACGATATGGCATAGTGCATATTCTTAGGCTGCCATTACACATTGGACATACAGATTGTGTGAATACTAGACCAACACCTCCACCGTCAGTGGTAATACTATATGCCGTCACAAGTCTGTGAAATTTTGCCGAATCAGTGGTTTTCTTATATATTTACCACTGAGTTTGTTGCCAGAACCTTGTTAGTCAGCAGGGCGCACATTGTGTAGGTAAGATATGCATTTGGGAAAAGCTTGAACCCCTCACTCTACAGGACTTAAATCTTAAATAATTATACAAATCAGGGTGCTCAAGAAGTTTTACAATTACCCCCTTCACCAGAACTACCATTAAATTATCATAACATTTAGTGATAATATATTCAAATCTTCTTAATATGTAAGTGACTGGTCATGTATTGCAGGGACTGATTATTTTTTTGAGAATAAGGGTGACAAACAAGCACCTGGTCCACCTGATGGTAATTGGTTACTGTGGCATATAGACATCGACATCTATCTTTGCTTGCAAATTAAAATGCAGATGTGTTGTCAGCCGTGAAGACTATGATAGAATGCCTCTTTTCCAGTAAAAAGGGTCTCCGGTACTCTACACTCACCATATGAAACACAGCAGCATTAAGCTGCTATTTTACGCTGGTATTCTGTGAGAGCATGGTCCTTCCCCAGTCGAGCTGACCCATTTGTGTCACAACTATACTATTAATATAGCTGCAGCATGACTCTACCATGTATAAATGATAATCATATAATAAAAAAAAATTAAATATTACCTTTATCTATTTTTTAAACTATAACAAGTGGTAGAATTAAAAATTTTGTACAACTGACTTCAATATAAATTATTAAGGATTACTCAAAAACTACAGGTCAGACTGATCAAATTTATATGCGACCACATGATAAGCACCAGTTTTCAAAAAAAAAGAAGAATCATCAAAATCGATTCACAAAAATAAATTATGATATAACTGCCTGCCAAGCATCGTAACTATAGCATATATCCCCAATTATTAGATAATCATGGGGAAGCCTATATTTAGCAGTGGACTTTCAGTAGTAATTGTAATTAAAAAAAAATAATCTTCACTTATGGTAGAATGGTGAAGTTCAATGCATTACTATTGTTTTAATAGTATATGCCAAATCTGAGTCACATCACCAGATCTCGTCACCACCAAAGTTGTTTAATACAATTTTAAGAGCATTTTAACTGCCGATCAAAACAGAACGGTGTTAATGTTTATAGTGTATTTCTGTCTGTGGCATCATAACTCCTGAACGGATCGTATATATGTTTTTAAATTAAAAATCAAAATAAATATTAAGCCCTTACTTTTATTTTCATCAATTTTATAGGTATTCTTGCTTCTACAACTCTTGATATAAGACTTTCACCTAATTGACTAGTACCTTCAATGTCTATAGTATTTAAATTATTTACAATATCTAATCTTTTCCTCCATTTTTCTAAACCATTCCATGCTATCATTACACCATTATCTGTACATAATTTTGGTGATGGCCTATAAATATTATAATTAAATTCATGGCACAACAATGTAAGAGTACTAAAAATATAATTATTACATGCAACTCCACCTGATACTATGAGTTGCTTATTATTATCGGGTATTAAATTATTTTGTTGGCAAAACTCCATAGCTCTCTGAGTCCGATGAACTAAGTGTCTAGATGTAGCCATTAACATAGCTGCACATAAATCATTTACCTCTGGTATTAATTTATCTGCAGTTATTTCATGTTCTCTTTCTTTTCTGTGCAGATGTAATAACACTGATGTTTTAAGGCCATTAAAACTAAAATTACAATCTTTATAATCACTTAGAGGCAAAGGAAGTTTAAAAATTTGGGGATTAGTAGCTTTGGATGCTGCTATTTCAACTGCTTGTCCTCCACACGTTTTTGAATATTCAGGAATATTTCTTAATTTCATTCTTCTAGCAACTTTATCGAACATTTCACCAGGTCCCATATCTATACTTTCACCAAGTAGTTTAAAATGTGTAACATCTTGAACAACAGCCAACAAACAGTGCCCACCAGATATTAGCAATGTTAAGTATGGAAATGTTATGTTATGTTGCATTCTAGCAGCTAAGGCATGAGCTTCCATGTGGTGGATAGGAATTATTGGCTTATTATATTTACGGGCTAAATATTTTGCATACTTCATACCCACTGCAAGGCTAAGAGGAAGCCCCGGTTTTACCGTCACTGCTATAGCTACTATAGAATCCATTGATACTTTTGCATTCCTCAATGTTTCGGTTACGACTGGTTCAACAAACATAGAATGTAAATCTCGCGCAATATCTGGAATTATCCCTCCATTTCGCAAATGCATTAAATTCTGTGAATGTAGGGATTCAGATAATAATTCGCCTTTATTATTTACGATTGCGCAACCGGTGTCGTCGCAAGATGTCTCTAATCCTAGTATTAGGTCTTCAGAATATTTTCTTTTGCTTAGAAGCAAGAGTTTCCTTCTAGAAAATATAGTTCGATTTGTACTGAAACACTGTGTAAGGTTATGAAAAAATAGTTTGTTGAACATTTTTCGTTAAAAATATTTAATTTGAATACAAAAATAAAAACAAGCACTTTACATACCTATATTTATAATTTTGATTGATTTGATTATTTGATAATTTAGATTTTTAAAACTGCCTTTACGGCTCTGGGTTCTAGCCCTTCTGAGCCTGAAGTTACAATCAAAGAGAATATAATCACTACGTTTAGTTAAAATGTATAATTATGCTTCATTGTACTAAGATGTTTTTAAAGTATAGATACGTCATACTCGCTCTAAAATGGCAATACGAAAGTCAGGTAATTGCCCGACTCGCATTCAGTCGGGCACGCTCTCGCGTCGCGGCTATACCTTCGCTACAGCGCGTAAATCTTCTAGTTATTCGTGGTAAAATGCCTTCCTGTGTTTTTAGGTGGTGCATAAATTACACGGCAACTGTTAGAGACAAGAAAAACGTCTCATTAATATTTTGAATATAGATGTTTTGTTCATAATTGGTTTTATTATTTCAACACTAACCGCTAGTGTAAACTTTGCCGCTAGCTAGTGTGTTCATTCCCATATCGGTATGTCACGCGCTCGTGCAAATGAGCGCTCAGCAGCAATCAATACGCAACTATTGATGTATATTCATCTTTTTCTAACGATAGGTATGCCGTATCATTTGTCTCTTTTTGTTAGCGCACCGTATCATAATAAATAACTGTACGTAGATATAGTACTACCTGCGCCACTTTAAAATACAATAACGTTAGTGTGTAACCTGTCTATCTCTTTTAATACGTCTTTGTCATAGTACACTGCTTCACAATATGTTGATTCGTCACATTGTGCAGCCATTGGGAGTTTTTGACGTCAACTTGATTACTTGAGACAGTAGATAGACAGCTGACAGTTTGCGATGGTATCCCAACGCGCCTAAGCAGACAGATACATTATCTTGAGAATCAGAGCACTTGTTTCACTGTTTCCACTAATAGTCCACATGCGCAGACACTTAATACACAAAATCGCACCACTTTTACATATCAAAATCCACTTCAAATCATTATTTAAACAATATTACAGGAGCAGCAAACTGCCGCTGGTCAAGTCCCCGCCAAAATCTGAGAATTGAGATAAATATAAAAAGCACAAAGTACTTATAAAAGTACTACTCTGTGGTGATAAGTAATAAAAACAAAGATAAGGCTCAGAAGGGCTAGAACTCAAAGCCGTAAAGCCAGTTTAAAAAAAACGTAGATTGTTGTTTTTATTATTCGCTCGAGAGAGCAGGCAAAAGAACTATGCAATACAGCCTTGTCTTTTGTAATTATCCTTCATAGTTCACTACTTCACAATATGTTGATGCGTCACATTGTGCAGTTCTTGGGAGATTTCGACGGCAACTTGATCCAGCAGACAGCTGACAGTTGGCGATGGTATCTAAAGGCGCCTATGCAAACAAACAGCTTATCTTGAGAATCCATCACCCTCAGAGCACTTGTTTCACTGTTTCCACTAATAGTTCACATGCGTAGACACTTAATACACAAAATCGCACCAATTTTACATATCAAAGTCCACTTCAAACCATTATTTAAACAATAATACAAGAGCAGCAAACCGCCGCCGGTCAATTTCCCGCCAAAAACCCAACGTAGATAGATGATTGACAAAAAGGCAGGGTATATAAAGAAAAAAAAATATTAAGATGTTTCAAGGAGGTTGTAATTTTTACCTTGGATTCTTATCTTTTAAGCCATGTCTTCATTTTATCTCAATGTCTAGTAATGATTCTTTATAGTAGTAATAGTGTTGATGCGTCACATTGCGCAGCCCTTGAGAGATTTCGATAGCAACTTGAGTCAGCAGATAGTTGGCGATAGTATCTCAAGGTGTCTAAGCTGACAGGCACTTTGACGTGAGATTCACATTACCATCGGAGCACTTGTTTCACCGTTTTCATTAATAATTCACATGCGCAGACATTTAATACACAAAATTGAACCACTTTTACATATCAAGGTGGATCAACAGGAGCAGCAATCCGCCGCCGGCCAAGTTACCGTCAAAACTCAAATACTAGATAAAGCTAGATAAAATTACAGATAAAGCACAGTGAAGTACAGGCACAATCATCAAATTAACACATAAACATTAATTTAATTTTTTGTAATGCTCTATGCTATTGATAGACGATATACATCGATATATTAAGAACACTCGATGTAAAGCATCGATACATCGAATCAATCCGATGTTTGTTAATTTGTCAACACATTATATACCAGTTAGTAAAGTTTCGGGGGCGGTGCTGAAGCTTTTTAAAAAGAAATAAATATGTCTCGATAACATTTATTACTTTTACATTACAACAATGTATTAATACCAATTCTTTGCAACACTGACTTGTTTACATGATTACGATGAATTCTATAATGAATTTTATTCTAAATGTAAAGGCTTTTATAGGATGGGCAAAACAAGTCTGTTGACTGAAAGTATGAGGCCTTGGTTTGACCAACAATAACAATTATTATAAAGTGGAATCAGCGTCTTCTGTAACGTTACACTTCATAAAATGTTTTCAGTAGTCTAATAGCAAAAGCTTAATCGGCAAAATTCGTGGTCAACATGTTATTGTAAAATTAAGGCTACTTCCAGACTGCATAACTAGTTTGTCAACATCAAGTAATCACCGGTTTTTATTCGATGTATCGAAGAGGCAAACCTGCTAGGATACTTAAACGAAGCTCAAGTTGTCGTCAAAATCTCCCATAAACTACGCAATGTTATGCATCAACATATTGTGAAGCAGTGTACTATAAAGGATTATTATCACTTGATACTGAAAATCTTTAAAACGAACATCCCGAATGAAATGAAGACATTACTTAAAAGACAAGCATCCAAGCTAATAATCTTAATAAATATAATTGCTTATTAAATCACTTGCTACATATTTATTTATCTATGTTTACAATTTATTTTTAACTATATTTTGATTCTGATTAATAGTTTTCAACAATTACATATACATATTAAAGATAATTGCAAACAGTATAAATAACTGCACAGCCATTGCCAACTAATATGTAGCGACGTAACCTTGTTAATGTGGATGAAATAAAAAAAAAACAGTACCTCTAAAATGGATGTTTTGGAAAAGATTTACATTAACTTTAAACGACAAATCTCTAATGTTCCGGTGATAGTCCCCAGAACTATCGAATATTTCAACAAGTCGGTAAATAAAATAAGGATACCACCTTTCACAAAAGACAATGTGTTATTTTATTATTTGCCTTTGCAAGGCATTGTTAGCTACACAACTTTGTCAGTAAGTGTAATGAATCCCCATTTAATGGTCAGGTACGTTTGTTATTCTTTTATTTATTCAATATACTCTTCAGTAAAATTATTTTTTGTAGTTTGGTATCGTAATTATGCCTTTAAAACTGAAACTTCATTCTCATTCTCTTGCAAAATTAAAACTTGAGTTAGGTATATTTAACCGTGTTATGTGCCAACAACTTATATTAAGCTTTTAATTGCAGGTTATTCCCACAACGTGATGTGACTGATGTGTTATTCCTATCTGCGAGTAGTGGTGCTGGTCTTTGGCTTTGGGCAAGACCCCACATTGCAACTGCTGCACCTGCAAGACGCTTCTCATGGGCGCTTCTTGGTGGATGCCTTTGGCCTCTAGGTTCCATTTTCTTATGGGCTATCTTAAGAAGCTCGATAGGTCAAAGACCGTTTATCGGTACAATGTTGGGTGTTGCAACAGGAGCAACTCTAACTAATATTGCTTTGGATTATTTCAACTATGTAGAGCTCATGTTTTGTGGAGAGGTGCGCCTGCCAGAAGAACCATATAGTCCCCACAGTGATGACGAAAAATATGATATTGATATATAATTTTGTGTTTAGAATGCTTGTGCTTGTTGTTTATATAATTGGGACTAAAATATTCACAAAAACCAAAAATTGCACTACACATGTAAATTCCTTGTTCCTGGACTAAGTATATATATATTATATACTAGCTGTGCCCGCGGCGTAGCTCGCGAATATAGGTTTTACTTAAAGAATTTGACGTTTAGGGTAAGAGAATATTAACCGATTTATATCATTACTCTATGAATAAGTGGTAACAAAATAAATCGATATTCTCAAAGTTCTAAGTCGTTTATGATAGAGCTTCTGTGTAAACGACGATAGAAGTAGACTTAGCCGGGGCGTACAGAAAAAGGTTACGGGGACTACTAACGCGAGAAAAAGCAATATAGAGCTGGCCATGTGCAAAACAATCAGTACTGACGCGTAAAGTTTGACCTTGCGCTTTATTTACGATCGTCGCATAACACACGCTGAGTGGGAAACACACTTAAAATAGGGATGTTAGATGATCATCGATGTTAAAAATTAAAACTTCGATGTTTTAACATCGATGTTGACATATGTCAAACATCGAAACATCGACGTCAATGAACCCATAATCGATAATTGGGAACTTGCAAACAATGCGAACTCGCGAAATCAATATCAACTAAATCTTGCATCTGCTCTGAAGATTAAAAATTTTGAATAATTCAGAATTTCTGAACGCATCGTTAATCTAAAAAAATGTCAGTATGGTGAGTCAAACTTAATTGTCAAGTGTCTCCTGTAATGTCACAATGGTCACTGATTCGCTTTATTTTGTAGTGTCGTTGTCGGTTGTCGCATAATAACTATTCTACGTAAATTGATATTCAAGTTAATTGTTACTTTTTCCTTGCTGTGTATACCCACATAATTTTAAAACAATGTGTAACTATCTACACATATACAAAAACCATCGATAATGGTCAACATCGATGTTTTGAGTGGCCTAAACATCGAACATCGATGTTGAGCTGGCGATGCCAACATCGATGTTATTATCCCTATCTTAAAACTGAAGCCTGAGCCGTGGTAGCTCAGATGGTTAGCGCTCGCTGTAAGCTTCACAGTACTCGAGCAACCCGGGTTCGATCCCCGCCGGCACCAATGAAATTGTCAATTGCAATTTTAAGTGCTGATTTACCACGTGCTCGGCGGTGAAGGAAAAAATCGTGAGGAAACCTGCATGTTTGAGAAATAAAAAATAATATTTCGATGACATGTGAAGTTCGCCAACACGTATTGGGGCAGCGCGGTGGACATTTCCTTGCCCTAAAACCCTCTCAGAAATGAGAGGAGGCCTGTGCCCAGCAGTGGGACGTAAATAGGCTGCAACTTTACTTTACTTAAAACTGAAAAAAAAGTTATTTGGTATTAGAGTGATTCTGGCTATAAAACAATATCACCATCACGACATTTATTGCAATTTTGCTACTTTTAGTTTTAGTCGAGTTTTGTTGAATAATTAAATATTTCAATACCTCTGTATATATACCTTACAGGCTTGCAGCTTCGTCAGCCTAAGGGTATTAGTGTTCTGTGTTCGTCAGGCTCATGGACATAAATTATTACAGTGAGTCTCAATACGATTCACCTGCGAAAAACCTTAACACCGCAATTCAGAAAAGGTTGTAATTTGTACAACGCCATCTATTACGTTCTTTGTGAGAAAACATCCTTTTTTAATTTAAGGAAAACATATTTTTACTGTGTTTTAAGTACTATAATAGAACGATACGAAATATATTATAATAGAACGTTTTTTTTACACACGAATCTTTTTATTACTATTTTTGGGATTTTGTGGCGCCATTAAACAAATTCGAACCTACATTTCAAAATAATAATCATGACTTTCGATAGAATTAACCAATTTCAATAAAACAAAGATTAAATGAACTTGATAATACGCTTTATGATTTTCTTAAGGATTTCATTGAAAAAAAAAAGATGTTTACTCAAAACGTCATGCGTCCATAAACAAACAGACAGACCGTCAGATAGTACAATTCTAAAAATTATAAAAATGTACTTATTTAATGATTTACAGTCCCAATAATGATTTTAGTCGCAAATTAATATACTATACAATATTCAGAAACAGACATAACATGTTATTACCATTTTTATTATATGTATAGACTTAAGAGAGATGGCGCTGTTAACATCAATTCTAAAAATAAGAGATTAATTCACACGATTGATACAATAAAAAACATAAAAGAACTTATAAATCAGTGCCTGCATAGTAAGCAAAAAAGAAAGTTTGATCCTCGCCGAAAAATGAAATTGTTAATAGCTCTTAAAATTTGATTTACCACATAGAGTACTCGGCGGTAAAAAAATAAAAAATAAATGAGATTGTCAACACGCAGTAGGGCAGCGTGTCATTAATATAAAGGTTAGAAGCAAATATGAAACTCAACTACAGGAATAAATTTTAACCTGCCTTTTTGTATCACATTTATGCCACACCACCATCTATCGAAGAAATGGGTTAACTATTGTGCTTCAGATTTAGTTAATAAGGTTAATATATTTTTGTATAATATATTTAATACGTTCTTTAATACTTTTGTTTACTGCGTTTTAGATATACATAATTATATCATTATTTTACATAATTTAACTATGATTTATGATATGATATTAGTTTAAAATGCACTTGATGACTCAAACAAAGCCACCGTTGAGCAAATTCGTACCTATACTTCCCTACCCATACTTCAGAATATTTATCATAAGTTTTGATGGAATGAACTGATTTTAATGAAATAAAGACTAAATGTAACCCGAAGATACACTTTATAATTTCCTTAACAATTCTTATGATATAAATTAGTACTTTATACGTGATACGTTAACAAACAAACAGACAGACAGACAGACAGACAGACAGACAGAAAATTCTAAAAATGGTAGAAATGTATTTAATTACTTATTTTTAGTACCCCTCAATCACTTTTATTACAAAAATATAAAATGTACAGACATCTGCTATTTACAGTTTTATTATATGTATAGATAAAGACTAAGATAAATTATGTGCTCCAAAATGCTTTAAAACATCTATATGTCAAAGCGAATGAAAATAAAAAGTTTTAAAGCTTGTCTTTGAATTAGTGTAGCATTATGTCATATAAATGGCAGTGTGAAGTGTTGATCGATTGGTTTAAAAATATACACTGGTGCAGAGTACTGGCCCACACAAGCTCCCATGTTTAATGTGAAAAGCAATAGATGATTGAGTGGTTATCTATTTATTTGCCACAAATGTTGTGTTGGTATTTCTATTTTAAATATTTAATTGTAAGGAATTAAAGCTTTTAATAAAGGTAAAATAAAATTATAACTTTTTCTTTACCACTTCAAAACTAGTAACAAAATTGTAAGCTGTTACTTTTGACTACAACTTAAGATTCTAACTAGAATCAAAACTATCAGAAGACTCATTGCAGTGTATGATTACTAAACCTAGACACTAACACAGAAAACACTTAAGAAGGAAGATAGCAGTTTGAGGTCTAGAAAAACTAAATGAGAACTCATGATCTACTCCATAACTACAGCTATTTACTACAGTATATACATACATATATATATATATGTATATTTACATTGCTGATGACTTCTTGTGTCTTTTTACGATAGATAGTTATTGCATCTTCTATTTCCGGCAGAATTTCAAATGTTTAAAGAGTGAATATTCTTAGTTTATCTGTTAAATAATAACATAGTAGAATAGGAATTTCATTTTTATTGAACAGGACGATATTCAACTTTGAATAATTCTTGCTCATTTAAGATGTCCGTTCATGATAAAAAGCAAGTGGCAGACTGTATATTCCATATATGGTTTGTATGTATTGCTCACTGCATGTGTCCATTCATGACAGAAATGATGTGGCACTCTGTATATTCCACATATGGTTTGTATGTTTTGCTCCCTTCATACGTTCGCTCATGACAGAAATGATGTGGCACTCTGTATATTCCGTATATAGTTAGTGTGTTTTGCTCACTTCATGCATCCGTTCAGAATAGAAATGATGTGGCACTCTGTATATTCCGTATATAGTTAGTGTGTTTTGCTCACTTCATGCATCCGTTCAGAATAGAAATGATGTGGCACTCTGTATATTCCGTATATAGTTAGTGTGTTTTGCTCACTTCATGCATCCGTTCAGAATAGAAATGATGTGGCACTCTGTATATTCCGTATATAGTTAGTGTGTTTTGCTCACTTCATGCATCCGTTCAGAATAGAAATGATGTGGCACTCTGTATATTCCGTATATACTTAGTTAGTGTGTTTTGCTCACTTCATGCATCCGTTCAGAATAGAAATGATGTGGCACTCTGTATATTCCGTATATAGTTAGTGTGTTTTGCTCACTTCATGCATCCGTTCAGAATAGATATGATGTGGCACTCTGTATATTCCGTATATAGTTAGTGTGTTTTGCTCACTTCATGCATCCGTTCAGAATAGAAATGATGTGGCACTCTGTATATTCCGTATATAGTTAGTGTGTTTTGCTCACTTCATGCATCCATTCAGAATAGAAATGATGTGGCACTCTGTATATTCCGCATATGGTTTGTATGTTTTGCTCCCTTCATGCGTTCGCTCATGACGGAAATGATATGGCACTCTGTATATTCCGTATATAGTTCGTGTGTTTTGCTCACTTCATGCGTCCGTTCAGAACAGAAATGATGTGGCACTGTATATTCCGCATATGGTTTGTATGTTTTGCTCCCTTCATGCGTCCGTTCATAACGGAAATGATGTGGCACTCTGTATATTCCGCATATGGTTTGTATGTTTTGCTCCCTTCATGCGTTTTTTCATAACGGAAATGATGTGGCACTCTGTATATTCCGCATATGGTTTGTATGTTTTGCTCCCTTCATGCGTTCGCTCATGACGGAAATGATGTGGCACTCTGTATATTCCGTATATAGTACGTATGTTTTAATCACTTCATATG